AGTTACTTTTTTATGGAGTAACGCAATATTGTAATGCATTACTTTTAAAAGTAACTTTCCCCAACACTGGTGGACACTCTATGTGTACACTGTGCATTGTGTATAATTAGTATACTGTGTGTAAATGTGAGCATTGTGAATTAGTGTACTACCACTTAGTGTGAACTAACTGTATTGTATTTTGTACATTTTAGACATCGTTTTAGACCGTCTCCACATGACTGTAACCCGAGATTTAATTTTTGTTTATTGCTTATGTTGTTTTCTAAATAATAATAAAATGCTTTAATAATAAACTATTAAATAATTAAATATTTGTATAATATTAATAAAATACTTTAAGCATTTCTGACTAAATAAAAGTTACTCTTTTTTTCTTGTTTGAGTCGTGACAGCTGGGGCACACTCCAGTCCAGTAGTCTTTCAGTTGGTTTGCCAACCGCCAATAAAATTTAAAGAAGAAGAAGAAGAAGAAGAAGAAGAAGAAGAAGTTGTTTGAGTCGTCCAGACCGCTAGATGTCGGCATTGCGCTCTTCATCTGAAGCGCACAGCAGCTGTGGCGCATGCGCAGTTGTTCATCAGGAAGAATGGCGGCCAGGCTCCTCTTGAGATCAGCGACCCGTGCTGCTGCTGCTGTTTACAGCCGCCAGCCTCTGCCAGCTCAAGCTCCAGTCAGGGGACTGGCGTCTGGAGGTACAGGTCGACCAATGGCTTTATTTTGAGTGCGTGTTTGGACGGTTTGCGCTGAAAAACACAGCTTAGGTCGAGAGTGATATCGCCTGTTTGAGTAGCAACAGCATCTCTCGCCCAATCATACAAATATACAGTCAACTATATATATAAGTTACACACACACGGGCTTGAATGCAACTGTTGCATCATTTTTGTCGCAATGCTTCATCGTTATTTCCTCCTTGAAGAGTTGTCCGTGTATTCGTACTAAGTCTAATCCTCTTACTCGCTGTCATCCTATTTAACTTGGTCACAGTTGCACTTGCAGGAAATAGAAATAGTTTGTTGCATACTAACAATAATGGCAGGGGAAAGATTTGCGTTTCATGCCAAATAGATGCCAATTTCTGCCACAAAAGCCAAAAATGATTTAGTAAACCATAATTGTAAGATTAAGCAAAGAAAAATAGAAATCATGAGATAAGTTCGAAATTAGCTCTTAATTTTGAGTCGTAATTATTACAAAAGCCATAATTATGAAATGCAAATGTATAATTAGAGGACTTGAAATTATGACCAATAAGTAGATATTTAATTTATGATGTTTTATGTCATAACTATACAATATAGACCAATAATTATAACAATCCTTTTGTCATTGAAATAAAGAACCTTTAAGTAGGTCGAGTCCAATGATTTGCTAAAAAAAATGTGTGGAAAACAACCACAAAATGCTTGTGGAACATCAGTACACCTAGCAGTTGTGGTCTGTAATATGATTAATTTGTGAGCTTGTGTTCAGGCATCCCCACAGATGATGAGCAGGCCACCGGTCTGGAGAAGATTGTGTTGGAGGCATCCAAGAAAGGAACTGTTAGTGTCTTGTAACGTGTTCTGTTGTGGCTTCTTGTGAAATAAAGAGTGCTGTGAGAGTTCAGAACAATCAATGCTGTCTTCTCCACTAGGATCCGTATAACATCTTGAAACCGAAGGAGTATGCAGGCTCCAAACAAGACCCGCACATCGTCCCCTCCATAACCAACAAGAGGATTGTTGGCTGTGTTTGTAAGTGATCGTATCATTTAACCATCATTTTGATTTTAGTAAAACTCTTTGTTCATCCTTGTCTCTCATTAATAAATATTGACACATTAGGATGTTTACTTACTTTACTTAACAATGGCAGTGCTGACTCAAAGGCTGCTGCAAATAAAGACCAAAGCTAACTAGTCTACTCCTCCTCTTTTAGTCTAGTATGTGTTTGTTATCAGTATGAGCCATTATAACAACCTAATGATATTTGGTCAAACCTGTTAACCTGTGTGTCTTTGTTTTTTGAAGGTGAAGAGGACAACACTGCAGTGGTTTGGTTTTGGTTGCATCAGGGTGAGGCCCAGCGCTGCCCAACCTGTGGCGCTTACTACAAACTTGTTCCACACGAGTTACCCCACTGAAATATACACCGCATATGAGGCCTAATCACTCTCATACTGACTCGATCACCATAGTCAGACTTATGCACAATCTCCTCTGCTAATCTCTGTTCTGAAGAATAGAATTGCACTTTATAGGCACCTAGTTAGTTCTTTCTCATTGGTTGCTTCACATAAGTAGATCTGCAAATCTGAAATGCAAGATTTGGCAGTGCTTTCCTAATTGTGAATGTTGGTTTATTATTATTATTATTTCTTTTTTTGAGTAATAGTTTACATGCCCTGTTCTTTGCTGTGCAGTATCAGCTGCTTACACATTCCAAACTTTCCTTAGAAATACAATGCATTCCTTGCCCTGTTACATAAATGAGCTATTACTTAAAATTTACAAGCATTACAGAAGTTTGCACATTCTTGCAAAAGAGATAATGTCTACAGACTGTCTTTGATTTTTCAGTGTTTAGACAAAGATAGTACATTCCCAATTCTGTGGGATCCAAAATATGCTCCATTTACTTTGAAAGTGTTGTGATTGAATGCTCTACCTTGTTGAACTTTCCTGTAAAATAAATGTGGTGTTTCAACACTTATGATGTGTCATCTCATTGCTAGAATCTTTGCAGTTGATTTACAGCAAGTGTCTTGAAGACCTGAAATTATCTTGACAAATTTATTTTAAACAAATATTTTTTACATTCAGTCAGTATGCAATGTACAACTATACATTACAGACATTTTTCACATTATTGGTGCGCTGTCAAACGCATTGATCTTGTCAAGTGCCTTGAGACTGTAATATAAATGTTAAAAAAAGAAAAAAAAAATGTTTAAAAACAATTTCTAGGATGTACCCTTATGTGAATATTCCTTTTTGAACCAGACTAGCCCTTTATCAAGATATGCAAGAAACTTGATTATTTACGCTGGACCCTGAATTGTACCACAAAATAATTTGTATTCATTAGAAGAATGGCATTAAAAAAAATTGTGTATGCTTATTCCACATGAACTAGGAGGCTATTCTCTTTTGCAGATATAGGTACACTGATGAACATATCAACATGTAACATTTACATTTTAACTGCATTTGGCAGACAATTTTCTCCAAAGTGATTTACAACAGTGCATTCACTGCTACATTTTATCAGTATTGTGTATACACTGGGAATTGATTCCAAAACCTTGTCGTTGCACGTGCCGTGCTCTACCAGCTGAGCTAGAGGACTTTGTATGTAACAGTCTTTCAGTTAGCATTAGTTTTTCAAATCAACATTAAACACTTTGCAACCCATTTTACTTCATGTAAAATTATCCTGAAACTTGATCATGAAAATTGACTTGATCCTTCAGTATCAAGAGTTTGTAGTTAGTTCTAAAGGAGTCTATTAAGAAAGTGAACGGTATCAACTTTGGTTTCACGCTGACCTATAGACCTGAAGAATAACAGAAGGCTAGACTGTAAGGACCACTCATTTCAGAATAGTTCAGTATGGCTGCAGGCCTGCCATGTTGTACCCAGCAGGTGGATGCCAGATGGGTAACGGGTAAGGATAGGAGGGCAAAGCAGCCTGGTAGGATCCAGTAAAGGGGTTGCCCATTGGCGGGCAATGCATAGAGTGAGTCTGAGCAGGAGGTATTGTTAGATGGCTTGGAAGAAGGACCGGTTGAAGAGGTAGAGCCTTCAACTGTTCGGTTAAGTCTGCCCGAGGTCTCTCTAAGGTTGGCATGTAGGGCATTGTTAGACTGGCATGAGGGTGGAAGAGGAACTGCTGGGTAGGCAGAGGCAACACTGTCTTTGCTTTCTCTTTCCTATCCATAATGCGATGTGGAGAGGCTACTGGTATCTTCTTCAAGTAGGATTCCTCAGTGGTGGGCCGCTTTAGGAGGTGCTGGGGGTAGGACATAGGCGGTTTAAAAGTGGGCTGTAGTGACACAGGCCTGCAGGGGTCTCGTGGTGAGACCTTGTAGAAGCTGGAGGCATGAGGGACCCAGCAGGGTTTGGTGTATGCAGGTGAAGGCAGCCTGTAGGACGCAAATCTGGTGGTGGATTTACCATCCAAGGTCCATGGTGAAAGACTCCTCTGGGTCTTTTCGGAATGGGGTGGGCCACCTGGCGGGAAATCCCTGTAATGGTAGCGGTGATAGTTGGCAAGTTCTTTGCTGCTGGGGTAACATCCGAAAGGCTTGCAAACTCCGGTGCTAGCAGCCTTGGACATGGGCAGAGTAGACAAACGAGAAGGTGTCTTACTTTCGGGTTCTTTGGAAGGAGACGTCGTCACGTCTATACAGTCCTCAGAGGAGACAGAACAAGGAGAGGGGCTACGGGACAAGGAGCCAGACGAAGAGGAGAAGGGGAGGGGTGAGCCATCAGAAGAGTGGCGAGTGCGAGTAGAAGAAGGACACACAGGAGACTGGGAAGAGTGGGATAGCTGAATAACAGAGGGTCTCTCCAGTTCTGCACCGTCCTCCAAGGCGCCAGAGACAGGGATGGTCAGGCTAGCCTGGGCCAGACGCTTCTTCTTCTCCAAGGGAGAGATCACCTCAGTTGGGGTAGGAGTATGAAGGAGAGAGATCTCTCTAGAACAGGTGCCAGGGTGGGGACCGTGGACAGAAACTGCGGATGACTGATCAGAGTCCAGGCGATCGGAGGATGCCAACCATGGACTGTGATGGGAGCACATGCCTCTCTCACAGTGATGATCTGATCCCATTTTCTCCTGTGAACAAAAGGGATATGCTTCAGGACAAGGAGCAGACAGATACATCTCCACACATAGGACATTTAGAGATATACACTATTCATCAAATTGTTGTTTTGCTGGCAATATAAAAGCATAAATATATATAGCATATATAAAAGGCAATATAAAAAAAAACATTGTGAATATCGTGGAAGTTCTAATGTGCCTTTTATTTGGCCATTAAATTTCCTATAGCATGTCATTAGACTAGCTGATTGACTGTGACCCATCCTTCTCCCAAGACTTGAATATGGGAGCATTTAGACCAGGGGTGTCAAAATCATCTCCTGGAGGGCCACAGTCCTGCAGAGTTTAACACCAACCTGCTCCAACACAACTACCTTAAGTTTTCAAGTAATCCTGAAGACCTTAATTAGCTCCCTGTTGAAAAAAACAGCATATGCTGGTTAGGTATGTTTTGAAGCATGGCAGCTGGTTTAAGCTGGTCCTTAGTTGGTCATGAGCTTAAGCTGATTTAAGTTGGTCCTGAGCTGGTCCTGAGCAGGAGCTAGTTGCTTAGACCAGTTTATAACCAGCTCTGGACCAGCTTAAACCAGCTCATGACCAACTAAGGACCAGCTCAAACCAGCTGCCATGCTTCAAAACAAACCTAACCAGCATATGCGCTTTTTTTTTCAACAGGGCTGGTTTAGGTGTATTTAATTAAATCTGAAGCTAAACTCTGCTGTAGCCCTCCAGGAACTGTTTGACATCCCTGAATTAGATAGTAGCTTAAACAGCACTAAATTCTTTTCTATGAATGGGTTCAAACAGCCAACCGTCCAGAGCATAGGTCTTCAACCCTGCACCTGGGGACCCACTGTCCTGCAGAGTTCAGCTCCAACCCTAATCAAACACACCTGATCCAGCTTATCAAGGTGTTCAGGCTCACTTGAAAAGTCACAGGCCAGGTGTGCGAAAGAAGGTTGGAAAGCTTGGACAGTGAGTCCCCAGGAGCAGGTTTGAAGACCTATGGTCCAGGGTGTTTCCCTGCCTACAGCCTGAGACACTGGGATTGGATCCGGCATGCCCCTGACCCTACATAGGACAACTGGTTTGAAGAATGGATGAATGGTTCAAATGGTCCATTTCAATTAATTAATTCAACAATCTGTTTGAGTCATTACTTAAAAATGTGTCGTCACAAAGCTGAAGTTCTCATAGCATAGTTCCAACCCTAATTGTACATTTGACAAAGAGTTTCTTTGATCCAAGTGCATTTTCTTCCTGCTCACCTCGCACTCTTCTCTCTCCATCTTCCTCTTTTTCTTGCTCTCTGGCTTACTTCCCCTGTTCTCAGGGCTCCTCTTGTACTGCTTTCGAGGTTTGGAGGGTGGTAGCGGTTTGTCCTCCTCCCCTCTCAGCTGCCGCTCAAAGGGCAACACCAACCTGTACAAAGAAAGAGTCTTACTGTTGGAGCCATGGGTTAGCAGTCAATGCACATTTCTTCAACTGAGCAGTTGTGTTCATGTGGGCAATGTGAGTTTGAGCGATCCGACTTAAGATTTTCGACTTGTGAATAAAAAAAATTGTCTGGTTCATTACAGTTAACAAGTGGGTTTACCTTTCGTAGTGTCTGCGTGTGCAGGTGGCTGCACTGGTACTGCCTGGACTACCACCCAGCTCATCATACACATTTTTCCATAGCCTCCGCGCTGTTACCTGTGAGTAAACACAACGTTATTACACACCCTTAGAAGAAAAGAAAACAAAATTTAACTACCTACTGTACTGTAGCGACTTCTCTGACAATGATTCAATTACAAACCCAGATAATAATGACTAATTCACGAGTTTGCACTATATATATATATATATATATATATATATTCAAATTATATATTATATATTCAGGAAATAGTATACATATTTGGTGTGCTGTCTGAGGAGAGGGCTCCGAGCTCGGCATTTAGCCAGAACCCAGAGAACTCCTCCATATCCCAAGCTGGGATAGGAATAGTTAGGAGTTGGGAAGGAGGAGGGAAACTTGAAAACGGTTGTGGGACAGAGGTAAGTTGGCTGTATAAATACTTACTATAATTGTGCTAATTATCATGCTCTACCTGTGCTAAATTGGTTGATTATCTGAATGTGAGCCTCCCAAACTTTGTTAATAAAACATAATTGAAAATGGTTTGGTTTTCTGTCGGTGCTGATAGCCTCTTTGGCAGCGTGCCGACATACAGCGTCGTTGTGCTACGAGCTTTCCCGAATTCGTATCCCGGCTCGAGGACCTTTCCTAATCCCACCCCCCTCTCTCTCCCACTTCGCTTCCTGTCAGATCTAAACTGTCCTATCATAAAGGCAAAAATGCCAAAAATTAATTACAAAAAAAATAGTTTGGTGTCCTAAGAGTGTGGTTACATAAATGTACCTTTATACAACAAAATTTTGCAGGCAAAATCCAGTCTTCTCCATGGGAATCTCACACAAGGGATGTGTTCCCTATATAGATTTTGTATCGAATTCAAGCTAGTTTAACTCTGAACATGTCAATTTGCCATATTGACCAACACAATGCTGTTTAATTAGGAAGTGACCTCTGACTAACAATGCTTCATGCATCACTACTGACAATGGACCTTCTTTGCCCACAAAGTTTCACTGATGTGAAGGCGCCTTATGGATAAATGTGTTTCATGTGCAATTCTAAATTAGCATCTATGCTTGCATTTTGTTTTCTTGGACTGACTGTGTGTGTATCGCATGCACTGCAGTATCAGTCTGATCAGCCCTTGTCATAGTGGAACTTCATGATTAGTCACTGGTTAGTTTCAGAGGTTGCCTCATATGTGTGTAAGTACATACCCCAAATTTATTTTCACAGGCTGATAAAAGTTTCAGCTTTACAATGCTAATACCACCCTTACTGCCTGACACATTGCTAAATCAATTAATGACCAAGGTACTTTTTATTTACAGGTATCAGTCCTCTGAAGTTTGTTTGGTGACAGCAAACACGTTCAGTTTAGTTGTGTTACTGGAAAAAAGTTTGACTGATGCAATAATGGCATTTATTTTTTTGCATGACTCTTTTTAGAGTACAAGGTCAGACTTTCCACTCCCAGACCTAATTCACACACATACACAAGACCCCCTTTGACCAAGACTAAAATTATATGCAAACAGACAGACAGACGTTGTTTTGTCAAACATCGGTTTTACTGACCACACGCACACTCATTAAAAATACAAACACTTTAGCACCTTAGAGTGAGTGGAAACTTAAGTGTGACAGAACAAAGCTTTGAAGCAGTGGGTTTGGGCAGAAAGAGCTAGGTGGAAGATGGACCCCCGTTCTCATTGTGGTCATAACGGTCACTGTTGTATGTATGGTGTGGCCTAAAGCCATCATAGTTTCCACTGTGCAAGAGCAAGTGGCAAATGCATGACCTGCTTCTCAGCTTCCTCATTAGGTGCAGAAGCCTCGGGCAGTTGGCATACTTGCACAACATATCGACAAGATAATGCTATCAGGGGTGTGAATGAGAGATGGGGGAGATAGACCAGCACCAGGTTGTGAAAGGTCTGTCTGGAGGTTTGTTTGCGTGAGGATACTTACCGCATCATATCCTCCAAGTGTCTCCACAGCTTTGTAGATTTTCCACAAGTTGACTGGAAAAAAGACAGAGACATGACTGCGTCAATACACAAATTTCTCATCAAAACTGTGAACGGTGAAAATCAGTGAAATGAGGTGCTCTTCATCTAAAAGAAGTCAGATTAAATGTTATACGAGCTGTTTTATTTATATAGATATATATATCTATTCATTTTATATGAGGTATGCGACCTTGTTACCAAATTTTGGGACATTCTGAACTACATTTTAAAACTTTTTTAAAAAAGAAGAAGAAGAAGAAGAAAACAACAACAATGCCAGAAGGGGTAACAGGGTTGCAAATTTAGCACAAATGTAGCCTCACTCAGTAGTGATAGCAAATGTTGGTTTGCAGTTATTAATAAACATATGTTCTATTAATTGAAGAAAATATTTTGGTTAACAGACTTAGATGATTAAGCTCAATTTTTAATAACTGACTAAATGTATTGTCTGTCTGTCCCAATATAAAAAGTCCAAATTGAGTCAACTTTGAGTGTAATGTAATGAGGAAAAATCATATTGTAACTAAATATACATTTTTTTCATAATTAATTTAAAATATTTTTTAATACAATGAATTCAATATGAATTCAATAGACTGTAAAAATTCTGACTAATGATAATTTAACTCTATTTAATTTAATAATAGCATAATTAATTAATTAATTTTAGATTGGTTTTATTTTAGATAACAGTCAACACAACAGTTATCTAACAGTTCTCATAACATAATTAATATTGTGATTTCTGTCTCATGGTTTAAAGAAAACTAAAGTGTACCACATATATGATATATTAGTGGTTTTAATGAGGGCATTGCAACCCAAAAAATGGTTGTGGATGTGTTCTGTTCTGAGAAATCATGCTAAATGTAAATAATAAAATGCAGTTAACTAAATAGTTGTGTGTAGTTGGAACAGCATAATAAATAGGCTGTTCAACTTTTAAAAGGAAGGAGAAAAACTTTGTTACTGATGTTAAAGTCTGTGTATCTGATCTTTTGCTTGTAAAAGCTAGTCAAATCAGACAGATTGCAACACGCATACATTGTGTAACATGCCCTCATGCTCAGAAACCATGAACAAAACTATAGAAGGTAAAACAAAAGATGAGCCAGAGACAACACTAAACACGGGTTCACTTGGTTTGTGACGACCACAATGTGTTTTGGTGAGGTGAATTATGGCTGCTGAGAGCTTGAAACTAAAACGTTTGCATATTGTAGTGCCTACACAGTTCTGAACAATTACATTTACATTAAATTTATTGAATTGCAGTACATTTGCACGATTTTGAGAGTATTTGAGGTTTTTGTGTTGGGTTGCCACATGATGTTCAATGTAAAATCTACATCTTAAAGCAAAAGCAGCTGAAAACCATGATTTTAGCAAATGGCTGCAATATAACAAAGAGTGAAATATTTAAGGGGGTCTGAATACTTTCCGTACCCACTGTAAATGCTGTAATATTACATGCAACCGTATTCAGACTCACTCTGTTTAAAGCCAAGATGGGGAATTCTCTCTATAGGCGTGCTTCTTTCCTTCATGAAACAGTACAGATTGGTCACAAAGGTTTTCTCTTCACTCTCAGACTGGTCCGTTCTGGAACCTTCCTCACTGCTATTGGTGGACACCATGTTCTCCATCTCCCTGCTGGTCTAGTGGAAAAATAGTGTACGGTTAAAAACCACAAAAGTTGTCCAAAAAAAGTGCTTTTACTTGAAGAAAGAATATTTTAGGAATATTACGCATATTCTTCGAAGAATGTGACATTGTTTTCATATACCTCACTATTATACGGTGAAAAAATATTTTATTTACGATTAACATTTAAATAGTAATCAATTCAGATTATGGTAGTATTTCTTGTACAATTTAAATAAAATTACAAAAATTTAAAATTAAAAAAATTAAATTTATTAAAAAAAAAATTTAATTAAATATAGAATATTTACACATATTTTAATAGAAGTAAAATATTTTTTTTCTTCAAATAAGAAGAATTTAGTCACAACAGGTTAAAAAATTGAGGGGAAATGAAAGGGTCACAATGAATAAAATAAAATAAAATAAAATAAAATAAAATAATAAAGGGTCTCAAAAAAGGTGTCACTGACTTTATGCAAAATATATTTTTTCATGAACTTTATTTTTTCTCATTTTTATTTTAAGGTGAAATGACCTGGGCATGTTTTTGTGAGAATCACCCTAGTTGAAAAATGTTCTATTTCATATAATTGTCAGTTTTTGCCCAATTCAGGAGTTCCCAACATAACGGTTCGATAACTAATAAATCTACAGTATGCGTGTGCACTGCACACGATATAGGCAATATATGAATATATGTGGGTGAGTTTGTGTCATTTACAGGAAGCAGCGTAACTGTGCTTCGAACAACCTTCGAATTTCACTTTCACACAAACAGCCTGATAAATCTTCTCACTGATTCATTTTCTCAAAGCCTCATGCAAAATTGCAGGTGATATAGGTGCTCATGCAACTCCGTTCCGAGACCAGTCATATTCAGAGTGTGAGACTGAAAACACAACAGCTTTGGCTTTCACCACCACTTTCAATAAGTAACCAGACATCCTGTTTGAAGGGAAACCGAACCACTGGTGGGGTTTTCACAAAAGAAAGCTGCACTAGTGCTGTACTCCACACAGTGATAAAGACACAAGTGGTGCAAACATGAGAAACTTTGCAGTTACTGCAAGAGGGCGGGAGTTTGGTGTCCGCAAATCTTGTGATTTTCAGCTGAAACACAAGAGTATGAATGTAGCCTTCCTTATCTATATGATACTAAAAAAGTGAAGTGGGATTATGAGATATGTTCCTCAGATCACACTTTCGCACAATCTGATCAAAAGGCCTTGTGGAAGAAGCTAAACTCCAGAATAAAGGGCTGTTCATGATAACTACAATTATAACGTTTTAATAGTTCACACCACAACTAACAATAACAACAACAACACAGAGGAACGATAATGAACACTTTCAGAATGATTTTTTTCCAGCTGATGCACAATAAAAACATTGAAAGCCAATCAAAATCCACCTTTTTAAAGTTTAAAGCAGCAGACGACAAAACTTCTAATAAACAATATATTATCGTCTATTATTGTGGACACTAATATAGTTATCTTTAAATTTATCATTCTTGGTGTGAACGGGCCACGATATGGACCACAGAAATCTCACTATCAGCCGCTGTGAAAAAGAAGTGTGCTTAACTGTATTGCATGTGCACTTTGAATCTTAAAAATATATTTAAAAAACTGTACTTGCAGTTATTGCAATATTAAAGATAAAAGGCCACTTAAGTGTACTTAAATAGAGTTCAATTTAAAGACTATGTTTCTTAACACACTTAAGTACACTTTTAAAAGTGCACTTCTTAATAAGGTCAAGTTTTACTTGAATGTACATTTTAAATAGTTGTTTTAATATTTTGTCATGCTGTATAGAATTATGATTTATTGACTAACATATTAAAGCACATGTAAAGTATTTGATTATAATTTTAAATGTGTTTTTCAATATTATTTCATATTGCAACTTCATCATTACAAATGTTTAGTTACAAATATATTTAAATATATGACACACGCTTATTTAAGTATATTTCAGTTTAGCATAAATGCTTGTCAGTATTGTAAATATGCAATTACGTATCCGAAAACATTAGATTTAGTTTGCACTTAGGTAGGCCTACATTCTTTTAAGTATAGTATTTCTATAAGAAGTAGTATACACTATGTGAAATGCACAAGTCTGATAACTTAGAAACACCTCTTTCTCATGACTTGGGGTATGATCCATATCTTGAGCGTAAACTGTTCAGGATAAGTTACGCACTGATGCGCTCGCTTTAGCAAACACCGCTAAAGCGATGATCAGCACCTTATAAACCTTGTAGATGCTTTTGTATAGCAAGGAAGGAACAAGCCCCTGTTGAAAGAGGGAAGTAAGTGAACGTTATCTACAGAAACACAGCACATTCACCCTGAGTGGTAAAGTGCTACATGATCAGGCCAAAGTGGAACTGCTAGCAACTAGCGCGCAAGCACACAGGACAATGACCCACAGTGCAGGCAGGCCGCAAGTGAGAAATGAAAGAGTGAAGGCATGCAGAAATGAACGCCAGCCGTCACAAGTTCGCCCACTCAGTAACAATACACATGACTTATAAGAGGGGGGCAGAAAAGGGTGGTAAGCCCTAGAAAATAAGTTAATGTAAGCAAAATATGACAAAAGCTGCTTATGTACAGCTGGTAGGCTATACGTTGTGGCTTTGATGCAACTGGTGTTTTAAGGGGCCATTATGAAAAACATGATTTTATAAAAATGTATTTTTTTAGCCAATCATATATGAGTTCATATACATGAAGTCTTAAAGATACAGAAGTAACGGTTGAAAATGATCATAAAAATAAACTTTGATGGAAGAAACAACTGACTTGAGCTGAATAACGAACGACATTGCTGCCTTATATAGAATTGCTTATAGCTGAATTGAACTCATTATGACAATATTGTCTTTTAAAGCTGTTTTACAGCACAATATGAATTGTCTTTATAGATGAGTTTCCATGATTGATTTGAATTGAAGCTACTTTGAAACAATCTATATTGTATAAAGCGCTATAGAAATAAAGGTAACTTGACTTGACTAACAATAAATCGATATGGAAAGACTTAATTTTGTACAAAAGTGTGTAATCTTTTTGAAACCAGCCTAAGCTGGTTTGCTGGTTTTAGGTTTTGGACACTTCTCAGCTAAGCTTAGACTTGTTTCAGCAGGTTTTTTAGCAGGCTTAATTGTTTGTGGAAACAATTTTTTGGAAAAAACGTTTGGTTAAATCACATTCGCCCGCCAAAATGGTAAAAAGACAAAAACAATTGGTAACAGCTTGCGAAGAGAAATTCCCCGGTGACTATATACGCTACGCACAGAAAGCTTTGGATTTCCATTTGATGACTCTGGTGGTTGATCTCTGCCGTTTGCTGCCAAAGCAATGTTCAGTCAGTAAGTTTCACACTGAATAGAGTTCCTCAGAGAGCTTAACTTCTTCCCAGAACAAGGCCTCTACAATGACTAATATTGTGCATATAGGGCTTTATTCTAGCTTCTGAGTAATATAGAAGATAAGAAGGCCCCTTTTCAGTGTACTGAAATGAGTAAACATTGAGGCCTAAGTTTAAATCTCTCTCCTGTGAAGGGAATAATATCATACATGTAGGCCCAAAAGCTGGGGCAATCTAAAAGAGTCTGATTCATTCTTTCCCTTGCTTCAATCGTAAATACAACAGAGAAAAATTGACACATGTCTTTTGCTATGGGTGCTGCTGAGCTCCAGTCTGTCCTCCTGAATTGAGTCATCTTCACTGAAATTTCATATACGGCTTTATCTGATTGCCATCTACCCAAACATTTCATGTTATATTGACAACACAGATAATAACCAGCTTTGAGGAATAGTGTGTTAGCACTAGTTCTTGGAATAAATATTTGAATATCTTGTAATCAAGGGAAATGCGTTTTTGAGAAAAACGCAGGTGGTAGTTTTTTCCGAATTTGGTTTATAATGGTCTCTTTATATTGTGTATGCATTTTGTGTCTTTTATCTAATGAGATGGTTACAAAATCATTCTTTAACCACAAATATAATCAAAGAAGAGATGTAACTGGTGGAATGCATATTAAAATACATAAAGCGTGCTCTCACAAAACTATTTAGGCCAATTGATATGTAACAAAAACACAAGATCACTCGTTCAATTTAATACAGTCATATCAAGACCACAACAGGGAAGAGCTTAGCTCTTAAATGCTACCTTTGAGTTTCAAACAGGAAGGGTTTTTTTGTGTGTTGAGAACCGTGCCCCCGTCCCTCTTGAACTGTGGCTAAAAGTAGCACAGACCCCAGTGTGAGAGACTTTCTGCAAGCTGCAGCTCTTCAATTTCCACCTCATTCAAATTTCGGAAAAGTGCGTGGGTTAGTCTGCAGCGGGCGTGTCAATAACACTCAAAATGAGAGTTTACACATGCTGATGAAGACGCAGTGGCATGGCCAGTGCTCGCCACCAAAACCACATGGCTTTCAACTTCTGACGCCACCCTGGAAATATGATGCATCTTTGCATTAGCATACAAACACTGTTTTCAATTACAAGAAGTGTGAGAGAGAGAAAAAACAACAACTGTGATTGTTTATATGCGTATCCTTGCATGTAGTGTAACACTCAAAACTCGCTCATTCACTTGTTATTCTGATGTACTGCAGAAATGAAGAACCGAAAACTGTAACCGAAATAAATGAGACCAGAGGCTGTTGAGTCAATGCATGTAAATATACTGGAATACTGAAAATGTTTTTTTTCTTGCAAAATGAAAGTCAAATGGACAATCTAACCACAAGGTAACAGCGTCATATCTCATGTGACTAACTACTGTTACTGACATCAGCATTCTCAGTAACCGAAATATTGCAATAATACCAGAAATCAATTTGGCAACAGTCATTAGATCGAAAGGGGAAGTGAGATGTTATTTTTACGAGCAAAATTTGCACTTCAGCCATATTAGGAGAATCAGTGATGTGAAATTTACATAAACTACATACAAATTCACATTTACAGTTTTGGGAAACGATACATAATCATGCCTTAAAAGGGAGAGTTCTCCCAAAATAATATGAATTCTGTCATCATTTACTCGCCCTTGTGACGCTCCAAACCCTTTTAGATTTTCAGTGGAACACAAAAGCAGAAATTTTGAGAACTGTTACGTAGCTTTTGCCACAGAATGACCATCATAAAAATAGTCTGTGACTGAAGTCATATGATAGCCTCTGGTAAACTATGATCGAGAAATGTTCTCTACAATGTGTATTTCCACAAGGAATAACACCACACAGGCTTGAAATGACAAGAGGAGGAGTGAATCACGAGCCACATGTGCTGCCTTACCTGATTTGGTGAATTCATCTCCTGCTTTTTCTTTTCACAGTCTTCTAGTTCTCCTTCACCAACATCGACCTCTCCTCGAGGGTCCAACACTAAAACAAAGCACAGCATACTAGTTACACACAAATGAAGGTGTAAACACGTAATACATCAAAAGAGTGTACACACTGATTGAAACTTTCTGTTAGTGTGCAGCCGATTTGAGTTGTTCAATTTCCAATGTTGATGCAGTTGAATCAGTTGATGAATACTCATTTTAGGAACAGAGAGGCGTAGGTCTTTTCCAGAGATACCACAGAAAAGCAGAGGTGAATACTTTGGAAAGCAATTGGTAAACTAGAATTGGTTCACCCAGAGATTGATATGCAAATTCTGTCAAAAATGTATTCACTCTCATGTCATTCCAAACCTGTATGACTTTCTTCTGCAGAACACAAAAGAAAAAACATGTTTCTTTGTCCACACAATGAAAGTAAATGAAACCAGTGTTGTTTTGGGCTCCGCTGATTTTCATTGTATAAGTAAAAACTGCTGAAACATACTTCAGTGTAATTTTAGTAATAATTATACACTATTAGTATTTAGTATTAAATGTATTTATTAACATTTTTAATGAGCTTTTATTTTAATATTTTCAGTTTTCATTTGACCATTTTTTTAGTTTACATTTGAGTAATTTTGCTACATGCTTTTTAAACTTTTAATAATTTTTAAGATTAAAAATATATATATTTCTATATAGCTTTAGGGAATTTTTATTTCAGTTTTAAGAATTTTAGCACTACAACTTAAACTTTTTTTTTTTTTTTAGTTTGAGCCATTTTGTTATGTGCTTTTGTCACTTTTATAAGTTATTAGGGTTTTCTATATAGATTAACTGAATTTTTTATTCAGTTTCAGAAAGTTCAGTCCTTCAGCTTGTGCAAAAATGTTGCCAAGACAACAGTTCTAGTTTTAAAGTTTTAAGTTTTTTATCTAATATTTATATATTTTTTTTATTTCAGCTTTATATCAATTACCGAAAATCTGTAAATGATTTAGTTTTGGTTAACAATAACACCACAGTATTCAAAACGTCTTCTTTTGTACTCGACAGAAGAAAGAAAGTCAAAAAGGTTTGGAACAACATGATGAAGGTAAATAAATGATGACAGAATTTTCATTTTTGGTTAAACTGTCCCTTTACCAACAGCATTTACACTGATTAGATCTGCATAAACATCCCTCACCTCTACACTCTTAGAAAAATGTCTGAGGTACAAAGTTGTCAATGGAGTATACCTACAAAAGCTAAAGGGTACATCTTTGCACCTTATTTACCCTAAATGGTACATATTAGTACCTTAACGGTACATATTAGTGATTTAAAAGTAGATAAAGTTATCATATTAGTACCTTTTGAAAGGGTATCGGCCCAGTGAGAGTTTGGTGTCTTTGAGTATATCCTGTGTATCCCAATCACATTAAAAATAAAAATCAGCTGCTAATTTAGCATGAGCAGAGCAACGCTCTCGGTTTACCCAGCATCTGCTTTATAAAAATGCAGTTTTGAATCTGAAGTATTGAGTTAAATGGGCGTGTAAGACAGAAAGAAAGAAAGAAAGAAAGAACATTCTAATACGAAACCACATGATTACAACACTACTTCCTGTCTGTATGTATAAACCACAGCTATGTGATACTCAGCTCGAATATAAAAATAAACATTTGTGAGCTGTCTAACAAAATTAACACACCAATGCATCCTCTATTATAAAATCTATACCTTGCATAAACGTACCAGTCGTGCATTTATTACGCATTATCTTTTATCATTCGGACATCGAATGTGCAGTGATTCCAGTTTTATAAGCTTTTCAGAGCTTTGTATTTCTGTAGAAGGTGCATGGGAGGACACTATCATCACACTGAACTTTCGATGGCCAAATTTCAGGTCAAAAATGGCACACAGGCGAGCATATCAAGCCATCTACCGCTCAGGTACCTGGTGTGAATAGAACCAGTACAATGTAACCATCAGGCACCTGACAGCATCTTATTTACAAACCACACAAGCACTGAATTATAGGTTCGCTCTGGGTTGCCTCTACCTCAAAGTCTCCACTTCCCTTTCTCGTAGCCTTCTCGCCACTCTTTACACTCGTATCTCTGTTTGTAACAACCAGCAACGCTTCGCTTTCGAGATCAGACGTTTCCTGTGCCAAGGGCACTCAACGGGCTTCTGTTATTTTACTTCCCCTTCTGAGCCACAGTGCAGAAAGATTGTGACAAGTTGGACTGATATTATCACTGGTGCGATAGCAACTTCTGCATTGTTTCTGGCAGCCTGCTATTGTTCGGATGGGGCAAAACGTTATAAACCCAAATGAATTCTTTAACTGAGCATCACTACAAACACCAGAAGGCTTTAAACTGCGGCTTTTCTTCTGATGTGCATGAATTCTTCATAATCCTGGATTGTCTCACAAATAAAGCCATAACGTGCGATAACATCACAATGTGATAGCGTCATAATGTCACAGACTGGTGTTCACATTATGACAACATCAAAGCACGATAACAAGTTATCAACGTAGAAATACATATCTGTGATAAGGCTTCCTAAACCAAAATGGCCTGTGATGTTCAGTCAATAAGCTTATCTGGCCTGTTCTCATCAGTTTGCTTATGAGGGGTTTTACGCTTCAACAGCAATGTGTTGCTATTTCTCTAAACCACTTCCTCAAAGAGCAAAACCTGTTATGGTTACTCATATCTAGTCCTTATTACAGTCACTTAAATTACTAAAAATGACAGTAATAGCCATTATGGTAATCCACTTTAACATTAATTCCTTCCAAAAAGCTAATATTTCATTTTATTTTACTTATTGTTTAAACTAGCTACTACTAAATAATCAAATAGTGACTAGTATGTTTTTACTGTATTGTTTATCAGATCAACTGGTACATATTCATTAGCCTACTTACTATTTCAGTTGTTTTTTTTCGTGAGATGTCCAAGTAAGATTTTGAATTGAACTATATAGTAGCTATTCTGACTAGTCATTTTAGATAGCCTACAAGTAAAAATGAAATGATAACTAGTGAGGTAAGAGATACTAACGTTAGTGTCTCAGAAACGGTATACGGTTTGAACCGCTTCTGTATGTGGCTTTAAAATATACAATTTCTTAAATCTATATATTAGGCATTGAATTTAAAACCTGAAAGCGGACTCTTTAGATTTGTTTTGAAGAAACTTTGATAACTGTCAATGCCAAGAAAATCAGTTTTGTGTAAAAACTAAGCAATATAAAGTATTATGTGATAGCGAAGCCATGCTAATTTTACACACTAGAAAGTTTTCGCATCATTGATAGTAATATAATCGCTTACCCATTGTAGAAGAGCGCGTCGTGCACGGACTGTAATATCAGGAGCGTGTGTTGATGTCTGTCCTTCAGTCTCGCGTCTCAGGAATTGACAGCTCGCTCTCAGCACGCGCTCTCTCTACAGGACTTCCTCACTCGAGTCAATCAGGAACCCTGGGACTCTGAGTCCTCTTCAAAGTCTGTTTTTTTAAGCGGTACGTTTTCGTTTTAAACAAGTTGGTTTACAGACTTTGAGTGCATGGTTTTCAGTATGTCTAACTGCAGTTTTGTACTGAATCTTCTCTTATAGAGTTTCAATTCTGAAATCTGAAAAAAAAAGATCAATTATTAGGATATATGTGACGCTGGACCACAAAACCAGTCATAAGGGTAATTTTTTTTACTGAAATTTATACAGATAAATAAGCTTTCCATTGATGTATGGTTTGTTAGGTTAGGACAATATTTGGATACAATTATTTGAAAATCTGGAATCTGAGGGTGCAAAAAAAAAAAGAAAAAAAGAAGCAAAATATTGAGAAAGTCGCCTTTAAAGTTGTCCAAATGAAGTTCTTAGCAATGCATATTACTAATCAAAAATTTTGATATATTTATGGTAGGAAATTTACAAAATATATGAATGGAACATGATCTTTACTTAATATCCTAATGATTTGAAAAATTGATCATTTTGACCCATACCATGTATTGTTGGCTATTACTACAAATATATTGTAACGAAGTAATAATACTTCGTTACAGTACTTAAAGTGGTCATATGATAAGATTTAAATTTTTCCTTTCTCGTTGGAGTGTTACAAGCTCTTGGTGCATAAAGAAGATTTTGCGCTGTGGATCGCCAGATCGGCTTTCACCGTGGACGAAGCGGAGTCCAGCCCGGGGTCGTTACATGTGGTTGATGCAGGCATCACAATATGGTGAAGGACGTAACATTTCCGTGACACGCGTGAGGTATTCAGCCAATCACAACGCACTGGATAGCTGGCCATCTGGCATTTGCAAGTTAGACTCCTAAAAACACCTTTGCTCATATGCAAACAAGTGCGCGCACAACCGCAGATGATTCATTTTCCACTCAAGTCGAGTCTGGGGTGTGTGCAATATACAGTATATCTTCTGCGATGATATTCAAGTGTTGTTGTAATGATGTGCGATCTGACATTATCAAGTAGGCTATATCACCAAATCACACATAGAGTGCACGCACGTGATTAGTCTATTAAAACTCAAAATCCCAGGCATTCTAAATTATAGACGGCAAAAAATGCATCTGTATGCTTTTTATATTTATATAATTTAATATAGTTAACTTAATCTATATCACACAAAGAGTACCATT